AAGTTACACCCTCAGAATTTTTTTGCTGACGGGAAGTCAATGAAGAACGTTTGCGGTCGGTGAATCCCGCTGCCTTTATTATAAACAAACACAAAACCAACTGTCTCAGCAAAAACAGTGCTCCATTTATTCTGGGCCTTTTCTGGAGTGAATGAACAATTCTGTAGACGTGGGTATGATATGAATAATTCACGCCGGGAAGAATATGCATATTTGGAGCCTTTACACTTGGCATGTTCTATCATAGCACAAAACAAACGTCAAGATCTGTACAAACACCCCTGCTATTAATATACAAATCACACAAAAGGCCCACACAAACATTATGATAAAGAAGATCCACGACAGCTGGAATAACAAGGGTGACGGGCATCATTTTTTAACAAGTAGAAGACTGCATTATGAAACACAGGTCAAAAACTTAAACGGTCATTTTGCATTTAAAATAAAATATGCATGAGTTCTAAATGAGTGGCGATTATACAGCTGATTATTTTAGCATATGGCTGATTGGTGCATATCAATGCATTCCAACGCCTCTCATCTCTCTTTTTCAGTCTTCTCAGAGCATCAGAGATCATATCTGCTGTCTGATAAAGGAGCAGAGCAGCGCCTGTTTAACTGAGGATTGAACCTGAGAGAGAGAGGTTTTCTCTCTCTGCCCTGGAGACACATCAAGCTAAGTGAAAGATCTTTAACTAAACACTCTCTGTTCTCCCCTGACCTCATATACCGTAAACTTAAAATATTATTTCTGAATGTTCACAACATCCAATTTTTAAATGTTTTAGAAACGTTTTTTCTTGCAAACATTAAGGAAACATTCAATTTGATAATTTTGCAAACATTATGAGAACGTTACTTTAAAAAAAAAAAAAGCAGGTAGCAACATTTAAAAAAACATTAGACGAACACAGTCTTGTACCTTTAACTTTTTATCAGATTTTAAAATACTTATTTGCTTCAAATCAAAGTTTGTAATGTTTGTGATTCAACTTGTAGCTGGTTGATTTGGTTTATGGTTTATAATCCTGTAACAAAATACTTTTTTAAAATCCGTATGGGGAAAATGAATGTAAAAAATACTTCCAGAGGAGTGGGTGGGCACTAATGCACGCTACGGTAATTATCACTGCCCAAGCAAGCAAGAACATTATTGGGCAATTTCATTAATCTCAAAATAGCCAAATATTGTCAGATTATATTATCATTGCCATACCAGTGAAAGATAACTTAATGCAAAAATTACTATTTTAATCAAATAAAACAGATGTAATGCTTGGAACTTTGTCTCCATTTTAATGGAGCATTATACTATCTTTGTATCGTAGAAACCATTGGCACCAATAGTCTCTATGATCTACTTAAGCTTTTGATACTTTTGGGAAATGCCTGAACATATTGGTCAATTGCTAGATTTTATAACTGACACAAAGTGCAACAGTCGGGTTCCGGAAATAATAATTCCATTCATTTTCTCCATGGAAAATTTACTTTTAATGATAACTGATACACCATTAAATACAGACCTACTGTGAGCTTTAAGGTTGTTAAATGATGGTATTGATAAGCCATCCGTACACATTACTTCAACTTATTTTTAAAATATCATGTTTAAAAGATCAAGAGAAGCCAATCTCGCCACATTTATTCAAGAGGAAAACCTCCAATGACATGAGCAATGATGGATTGTCACGGCCATGTTTTAAAATCAGCAGTACAGTGAGCTCTGGGCCGTAAGGACAGGGTCACCGGGGAGCTCGTGCCCTTGGCATTGACTGAGCATCCTGCAGATGAATTCATAACACACGCACGGACGCGCTCAAACATCTGATGCATCTCGAACACATCTGTTTGACTTTAACTGCTGAAAAAAACACACATAACCCATAATTATAACATATGACAGAACTCAAGAGCGTTCCCTTAATGTTACCATATGGTTCACGTTTGGTTATTTTTGGGAACCAACTCCTAACATTCTAGGAACAATCTTTTGTTTTTAATAACCATAAACTAACATTGCCAGAACGTTGAAGGAAGGTTTTTGTGGGATAACCTTATAAGAACGCCTATTTTTAGGCATTATTTTTAAGAACCAAAAACTAATGTTGTCTGAATGTTGAAGGTTTTTGTTTGACAACCAAATAAAATCTTAAACAGAGCATTCAGTAAAGGTTACTTTAAGGTTTATTTGATTCAAAACCATACACTAATGTTTCCACAACATACCGCTCTAGCGAAAAATCGTAAACCAATGTGTACAGTATTCATATTGGGATTTTTTTCATAATCTGGAATCATAATGGTGAAAAAATGAACCCGTAAATAATCAAAGACGCTACTGGATAAAATTAAAGTTTTCAGATTTTTAATTTGTTATATTTTACATGGGCATCTAGAAAACTATGTCATAAAACATCTAATGTTAGGCTGTTTATTGTAGTATGTTGTAAATTCCCATTATGCTTATTAATTCTGACAGAATTTCCGTTAGAAATTTCTGATGAGGGCGGGAAACAAAAACGGTTAAAGGTTGGGTAAGAGATTTTTCAAAAACGCTTTAGAAAACTGATTCGGGGCCGAGTACCAAAACAAACTTGTAGCCAATCAGCAGTAAGGGGCGTGTCTACTCATGATGTGGAGGAGAGCGATCAGTGCACAGGACGGACATTAGCGAGCCGAGAGACAGAAAGATAGAGATGGCGGATAAAAAAAACAAAAGAGGAAAACCTCTGCGGAACAAAAGAAGGCTTAAGGCAAGAAGTAGGACCCGTGTAAATATCAGATCAGCTTTCCAGCGCTGGAGAGAACTCAAGGAGCGGAAGGCCTGCGATCGGATGCCGAGGTTGCTTTGTTTCTTCTCGATAGGTGAGTAACACCGTGTCTGCGCCACAACAGCTAAAGTCTGTCTAGTACACTGGACGCGACAAAGCGACCGCTGAAAATCATTTGAAATTTGTGTCAATACGTCATAAATAGAACGCAGCAGCAGTTTTCTGTCTGGGATTTGTCGTGTCGTGCCGTATGCAGTGTAGACCATAGATAATATGTACTATATATATATATATGGTGTAGACAGCATCACTGATTATAATGAGTTCCATAGTATTTTGTCGCGCTGCGCCACTCGCGTCCGGTGTAGACACAGTGTAACATTGGTTTTGCTTTGTTTACTTATCGTTGCCTGGGTTGTGTATGTATGTGTTTTGGTGATTTCAAACGTCAACATTGGCTACCAGAAATCGCTTACCCCACCTTTAACGTTAGCTGAGAACCACTAACCTAAACGCAGCCGTTATTTGTTTTGGGAAAACACGCAGTCTAGATAAACAAACACAATTACTGCGAGTCAATTAACATTTCGCGCCCAGCACGTGCGGTCTCCAGTGATGCCGCAGTCACGCGCTTCAGCATTTGTGCCGCCTCATCGCAATTCCACACAAAATAATGCCATTCATCTATAAATGTGTATTATTATGTGACCATACCTGTCATAATTCCGCGCGGTGTCCTGCGTGTGGGGTGACTGTGAGACATCATGCATCCAGCGCGTCTCTGCTGTCAGACGCGGCGGCCCGCGCGCTTCCAGTGTTTAGCTCGCGGCTGAAGGAGGAGCGCGCGCTGTAACCGTGGTGCGCGCGCGCACACTTGTTGGAACCATGCTGATCCATTGAGTAAAAATCATTATTATTTTTTAAACAGTGCTACAATTTAAATTATTACTAGAATTATTATAACTATTTTTAAAATTATCACTAGAATAACTATTTTTCCTCAATACATGTGCATTTTTTTATTTTTATTAAGTTTACTTTTATACTTAAAATCAAAATACTGATTTTTGTGGTGAGCCCACACACTTGTTGGCACCATGCTGATCCATTTAGTCAGTATTATTTTTTTAAACGGTACTAGAATTTAAATTATAACTAGAATTACAATTTTGACTCAATGCATGTGCATTTTTTAAATGTTTATTAATTATGATTTTATACCTTTATGGTGGTTATTATTACACTACATACACACATAATCATCACAAAATAATGAAATAGTAATGAAATAGTATATAATAATAAATTATTATATAATAATAAATTATTATATAAAATACAAGACATTATTAACATTGTTATTACTTTTCTTTTTTAATTATCACTAGAATTATAGTACTAGAATTATTCCTCTTTTTTAAATTATTACTAGAATAGCAATTTTAATCAAGTGATGCGCATGTTTACATTTTTATTATTTAATAATGATTTTATATTTTGATTATTACACTACACGTCATCACAAAAGAATGAAATCATAATAAACCTGTATCTAATAAATTATTATATAAATTCACAAACCATTATTAATAGTAATATATTAGTATAGCATAGTATGATCATATAGTAGTAATAGTAATACATTAGTAATATATTACTACATATAATCTTACATTTATTTTTATGTGTTGTTTTTGCAAAAAATCCTGGCTCTATGTGCATTAACAGCACTACAGCGAAATATCTATTCATAACACACACAAAATTAATCACATCTACAAAACTGATGAATATTAAATGTATGCCATGGATTGTTCACTCATGGATTGTGCTGTAACAATTCAACTGTACCTGTACTACATTTTAGATTTAGAATAACCTGCCTTAAACGTTTGAATTTACATTCAAATTAACAATTGAAATGTAGTTAATATTTAATTTTAACTGGCACATGTGTTGAAAACAGTGTTATTTTAGTATAATTATAGCCTAATTTTATAATTTAGTTCAAGCATGCTTTTAATTTAGTTCAAGTTGTAGTAATTTTGTTGATTTTATTAATTTTTATTTCAGTTTTACTTTTAGTTATTCAAGTTAAACTAAACTAAAATTTAAAAAAAAAATTGCCTTGGCAACTAGCTGAAATTAAAAGAAAAAGGTTTTAATATTTTATTTTAGTTAACTTTTTTTTTTTTTTCAAGTAACGATTTTTTTTATGCCTTTAGTTTTAGTTAACTATAATAACCCTGGTTGAGAAATAAATTTTTCCTCATTTTACCAGACTGACAGGGTTCAGGTCTGAGTCTTGACAAATGGCGCCCTCTACTGAGACAACCGCAATACTGCATTCTCTACACTTCAAGTCCTTACAAAAGAAAACTTACAAGTCAAGTTTAAGTAGCCACAACATTTACTCGTGTTTGTTTTAGCATGTTAATATAAACCATTAAGACGAGAAAAAGAAAACAAGAATGATTGGTAAAAAATAGCTTCGTAAAATTAACCGGCCGAAGATGATGCTCTACCGCTGACAGGCGTTTCGCTTTTCTTCCTTCCTAAAAGCCTACAGAAGCTTTAAAGTAAATACTACCGCCGAATATACAGAACGGAAGATGGGCTGAACAGTTTCCACAGGTTTTTTCTTTATAGTAGAACAATTGTGAAATGTGCAAACCTGGACTATTTACATTGAACATGTTACACTAGACCTCTAATATTAGTCTGTGGTAGTGAGTGTAACGTCCAAAAACAACAGACCTCGAAGATTTCGCATGGAGCGAGATGGGAATTTCATAATATACATGATCCCTGGTTGTGTCTCGCCTATTCAAGCGAACATGACGACATGTAAAGAGGTGAGCACCATCACTCATATTCGGAGATGTTGACTTTTAGAAACAGTGTCTATTAATTTTATATGGACTCCGTATATAATACGTAGAATATGTTCTCCGTATTCCCGTTTCACAAGGACGTAGAGTACTGTTTTGCACAGTCCAGTCACAGCTGAAGTCAGCAGTGCCTTAAAAAAAACACGCAACTCAGTTCCCAAAGCCACTTCGTCCGCGAGGGCCGCCCCTTCCCCATCCACCCCGCTGAAACGGTGGCTCGTTTCCGAATCTGTCTGGGCCCCTTTCTGGACCTTGATCTCGCCAGTGCGGTTCCTCCCCTCTAGGACGCATTGGGAGCCTGTGAGGGGGGAAATCGTGTCTTGGAGGACCCATCATGCGCATCCGGAATCGGCCCACGGGGGGTTCTCCGAACATGGGGTTGGGGCCCCTAGGGGGCATCATTTGAGGGGGCATATTGGGAGGGGGCATGATGGGACGGGGCCCGTTATTAGCGAAAGGGGGCATGAAGGGTGGGCGGAGTCCCACAGGGGCGTGTGGCGGTAGGGGCCCCGGTCTGGGCCCCAGAATCCCCCCGAGAGGAGGCGGACTGAGCGCTTGAGCTCCTGTCAGGTCCATGTGCCTCTTGGGAGCCTCGTGGGATTCATCTGAAGGTTCTTCAATTGGGGTTTCTGATATTGCAAAAGACAGAAACATCACATTTAGCTACAGACAGCCTTTAACATCTCCAACATCATTTCTATACGTGTCAACCAAGTCCAGTTTCCAAATATTGCCAAGTAAAACAGGATATTAATGTAGTTTTATAGAGATACACTTGACTGTATGCATCTGGAACTGACTTGTGACTGGTTCATATCAGAACAGAGTTTGATTTCACTGAAAATTGTACAACATTAGCAGTATTGAGTGCATTTTGAAAGATTTTATAAACCATTATGGTTTCTTTGGAGTTACGCGCACTGATAAATCATGAATTATTTACAATGGGACCAGGAACATTTTTGATTTCATGTTGAATTGAACTGTACATTGAGTTACAGTTGATTGATACCTGTGACGGATGGAGGAGGACCTGCAGGGTTCAGAGAGGCCAACGGGACAGCAGGAGCAAATCCTGTTTAAAACAAGGTAACAATTCATGATAAGGTGAATTTGTGTTATTATTTCATGCTAGGTCTATCTATTAATCTAAACACAGGAAAATAAAAGATTTGGGGTCAGTATGATTTTTTTTTTAATTGCTCACTGCTCACCAAGACTATGTTTATTTGATTAAAAGATTATTACAATTTAAACTAAGGGTTTTCTAAGTTAATATATTGCAAAATATAATTTATTCCTGTGATGCTGAACTGAATTTTCAGCATCATTACTCCAGTCTTCAGTGTCACATGATCCTTCAGAAATCATTCTAATATACTGATTCACTGCTCAATAAACATTTCTGATTATTATCAGTGTTGAAAACAGTTGTGCTGCTCAATATATTTGTGGAAACCAAGATACATTTTTTTAAGGATTCTGATTAATAGAAAGTTCAAAAGAACACCATTTATTTGAAATAGAATGATTTGTAACATGATGTCTTTACTGCCACTGTTGACCAATTTAATGCATCCTTCCTGAATAACAGTATTAATTTCTTTCAGAAAAGGAAGTACCTGCAGGCATCTGTGGGGGGTTAAATCCAGGAGGAGGGAATGACGGAGGGGAGGCTCCTGTGATCATGGCTGGAGGTGGTAAACTCATGTTAGGAGGGGGTCCTGGGATGACGGGATTCATCGTAGCAACAGGTTGAACTGAGGGGCTCTATAATGTAGTGAAGAAAAGGCTGTGTGAAAGGACATTTCTAACATCAATGAGACTTGAGAAATCATACAGATATGTCTCAGGACATGAGGAGGCAAAGAGTGTTCTGCTGTATTCTTTATTGCACACAAAACGCAAACACTTTGGATACAACCTTTTAAACTATACCTGAAAGTTTTCAAATCAAAAGTGGGGGACCAATCCCGGAAAGAATAATGTCACATGTGCAGGGTAATACTATTTTGATTTTTCATTTGAAAAACACTTTTAAAATTGATTTGATGCCATCTGAAGCCGATCTTACAGCTACTGTACAATATTCAGAGCTCAAAACGCTGATGTTTCTTCTTCCATCCCCTTTTTTACACCCAGTGTGAATAAAAAATAACTACTGTTTAATATTATATGACACAGCAAGATCCATCGCCTGACCCTGGCATCACATGCGCTCTGAAACGTCAGCACCAACTTTGAAAAGACTTTGGAAGTTGGTATAAAATGCTGTGGAGAACGTCCTCATTGCAAGGTGAAGGCATGTGTTTGGCGAACTTGTTTTCATCCAAGTCATCTCAGTGCATGATCATTTAGAAATAACAGAGTATGATTGCATTTTGTCCATGAGCGAGTGTGAATCTGTGGCAACTGATCTCAATGATGGTGAAAACGTGGATGATGTTAAAATACACAAATGTAGAAGGAAGCAGCATCATCTTTAGCCAGCTCTTCTGAAAAAGTATCTACATCAGTCAAGCTATTTAAAGGAATAGTTCACCCACAAGTAATCCACATGACTACCATCCACCAATTAATGTCTCATGAAAGGAAAAGCTGCGTGTTTGTCATAAATCCATCAATTAGACATTATTGCTTTCAGCTAAAATCGGAGTCCTCCATAATATTGCTTTTAGTGGAAAAGTGGTCCTGTCTGAATCAGGAAGAGAGATCAAATACTGTTTACAAATGAAAACCATCCAAAACAGATCTAAACAAAGATGTTGTTGGATTTTGACTGGAGGCTGGACTTTTTCACTGGAGGAAGCGTTATGCATTATGGCCAGATTTTGGCTAGAAGCTAAAATGAAATCTCCTTGATGGATTTGTTTCTTACAAACACGCAGCTTTTGGCTTGTTAACTGATGGACTGGAGTGGTGTGGATTATTGTGATGTTTTTATCAGCTGTTTGGACTCTCATTCTGACGGCACCCAATCACTGCAGAGCATCCATTGGTGAGCAAGTGACGCAATGTTACATACATCCAAATCTGAGGAAGAAACAAACTCTTCTACATCTTCCATGGCCTGACGGCGAGTACATTTTCAGCAAATTTTATTTTTTGGGTGAATTATTATTTTAATCACACAGCCAGTCTTTTGACTTTCAGCATAAAGTCTGGTCCACTTTGCAACTTTTCCTATAGGCCACCCACTGAATACTTGAATGTTGCTGAAAGTCAAAGCCAGTCTGCTGATTGGAGATGACTAATTTCACCGAAAATCACCTACTGTATCATGGACACAGAATCTGCTCATTTTTATTAATTTTTTTTTTTAGATGCAGACTGCAAGTCTGTCCAGCGGGAGGATATCAAACATGTTTTGAGAACACATTGGTTTGAGTTACCATGTGTCTCCTATAGAGCGTGTTTCTGTGTGAGTGTGTTGTGTTTGGAACTACTTCAAAGTCTGGTAGTGTGTGATCCCAAGCATTTAATACATGATCGCCAGTTTTAAACTGTAACCATTTTTAAAGTCAGCAAGGCTGTGATACCTAATCTTGTAAAATCTGTTCAGATTCGAACATTTGTGTAGTGTATTCCAGTCTTTAGGCAGTGAAAAGATGGTCTGTGCAGTATTCAAGGTACCTGAATGCAGTGCAGTTTTTTGGTGCAGGGGTTATCTGAAATATTACCACCTAGTGTTAAATATAACGTTTTAAAATAACAGCACAGCGACTGCATTAGCAATTTCTCTCTCTCTCTCTATATATATATATATATTATGATATACAAAAAATAATATATTATTGTTAATATATATTATTAAATTAAATATATATATTTTTTAAATTGACTGCATCGAGGCCAAGATTGCCAAGGAGAGAATTTAGAGGGAACTTTTTAGGTTTTGCTCCAGTAGTACTTATACATTCACTTATTAGCAATTATTTTTTATAATTTTTAATTGTTTCAAAGTTTGGTCACAGCTGAATGGACTGAATCCCAGATATCCACTGACCCTAGAGGCACAATCCTCACAAACACTTCTAATGTGCATGCAGAAGGACGGCAGAACGATGACATCTAGAGGCACGTTTTGCATTTTGTGGCTGCTTGTACTGGTCAGAAACTGAAGAAAAGATTAATGCAATAGTTTCTAACTAACAGTACTTAGCAATAGACTTTCCTTTTGGGGATTTACATTATTATGTTCAGTTATTTATATACTGTTTTAGAATTATTCATACTCCGATTACATTAAACACTACTAATTTACTAATTACATTCAATTGAAACAAATGACTGTTTACATGTGCATATTTTAAATGTCATTTAAAAATGGTTATTTTAACACTTATTTTATAACACTTAAGGTTCAGTTTGCAAACATGAGTTGGGCCTCAGGAACATGTATTAATTTAGGTTTGTTCAATGATTAAAAATAATATTGTTTGTTCAGAATACATTAGCTAAAGTTAATTTATACACCTTGAAAATGGTTAAAGATGTATAGTATGTGTAGCAATGAACATTAACTTAAATGTTGAAGTTTTGTTCATTGTTAGATTATAATACCTATAACGCAATAACTAATGAATAGAGCATAATTGTGAAGTATTACCAAAAATATTTAACATATTTCAATTAAATTTATACACTGTAAATAAGAACTATTTAGCCATTTAAAATCACAACTTAACTCTCTAAATGCCATTTTATTAGGTATCAAGTTACCAAGCAAGCAAAAAGAGGCACAATACTTTTTGTTCTTCATTTTAACCAGCATTTGCTTTAGAATTCTTTTAGTGCTATTATTCTTTAAAATATACAAAAATATATTTTGTCATCTAAAGACTGAAATATAATACAAAGCGTTTGTACAGATTTTGCACATACGGACGACTCAACGTTAGTTGCTGATAGTCAGAGCAAGTCTGCAGATGTTGAGAAGTCAGAGTTGACCAAAGAAAATCTCAGTGTATGATGAGCACAGACTCTGATTTCATTCAGTCATCGGAGATCAAACGTCTGATATTTTGAGCCGATTTTAGAACACATTGTTTTCATTTGTCATACAAAGGAACATTAAACAATAGAAGAAAAACCTAAATAACACCTCTTTATGTCTGGTGTCCATATTCTTGCTTACTTATCAAACAAGACAAAAGTTATATACACACTACTAATGTTTATTAATAATAATAATAACAATAAAGGTCTGTACGGTATTAAGAGTTTGAGACCGATACCGATGATAGTAATTCACGCACAAACTCGGGAGTGTTTCACAGGAGAATCGGTAGATCCTCCGCACTTACAGCGCCTTCCTGATGCTGGCTTGAGATCTCAGTAACTCTCCAGGTCCTGGATCAGACCTTCTTGAGACTGAACCTTCAACCTTTGAGTTAATGATCTGAATCCTGAACCATTAGGCTTGTGTTTGCATCCATGGTTTATTAAAAAAAACTGAATTCCACAGCACACTGGAGCAAACTGAAAATGAAACTATGAATTTGTGCTCAAGTTCATTAAAAATACGAATTTTAGAATTTGAGGTCACAGTTGCTATTGGGTGAAATTTAATTCATTAGCTCTTGCTAATGCACTGGTGAATGTATCAAAATGTGTATTGAAACAATATTCCTTAAAAGTAATTATAGTGTTGTTAAAGGGGACATCGGATGCCCATTTTTCACAAGTTGGTATGATTCTTTAGGGGCTTCATGAAATGCCTGCAACATACTTTGGTTAAAATTCCTGAATGGACATGTAAAACACCCTTTTTATCTTGCCAAAAACAGCTCCGTTCACAGCGAGCCGTTTCGGTCAACAAGACCAAGTCCTATCTAAATGAATGCGTGAATCCTGAAATCTCATAAACTGCCCTATGAACTCACAATTAAAGTCCCCATGAAATCAAAATTAAAGTTTTTTAGGTGTTAGTATCAATATGTTAGTCTTAAGGTTATCTATAAGGCAGCGTACCCACTGTAAATAGATGCTGAAGCTGCGGCTGAGATCGGTCGCTTGTTTACGGTGTAGTATTTCCTGTACAGTGAATGGCACGTAGTGTACAATGTAGGCGATAGGGAACGATTCAGACAGTGTAAATATGCTTTCGATTGGGGCAAATGAGGTCTGGTTTCACGTTGTGTCACGCGAAACGCGGCAGCGGGCACAGTCTGATCCGGACTTTGGCTCCGGTCCAGAGATGCGATCGCTCGGAGCAGATCATATGCGCGAGTCAGCATATATTAAACACTTAAAACTACACAGCCTCAGCATGATTATGATCACTATTTTGTTTTACTAAGAGTTTCATATTGAATATAGGGGGTAATCTATTAGACTGTGGCTGTCAAATGCGGCTTTACCGAGCTCAAGGGCTCTGACCCGTGCAGATATAAACAAAATGCTATTGGCTAATTTAAAAAGGGGGCGGGGCTGCTCGATATGTCCCGCCCTGTCTTCCTGTTTCAGTTGAAATTACGTCACAACGCTGCTATTTCAAGGCACTTCAGGGGACCTTTAAGTTACATATTTCAAAGCAGCACCAAATCTGAAATTAACTGCCCCATGAATGTTGTTTCAAAAAAGCTTATTTTTCAGGCTAGACAAGCCAGTGTTAGGCATGTGCAGTTTTAACGCACTTATGACTGCGCATGTGCATTGGCTGGTTTAGCCTCAGGTTTCTATGGGAACCGGAGCTTATAACGGCCTCTGCAGTGATGCAATGACTTTACTCAGCGGATCAATCAGCGATTGCCGCTTTCATTTAGAAG